TTTGTGCTTTTTTTCTTTAGAATTTATCCGTACCTCCAATTCAGGATTGCATGCGTACGTGCTATAGAAATATCTTGGATAGTTAGAGATTTGGTAGTCCATCATGTTTGTTCTTACGTTGTTTCAGATAAGTATTAAAGATTTTATAATAACTTTTCACAGTTAAAGAGAAGGAACTCTCAAAAGTAAGCTCATTTCAGTGTCTGCCCCTGCAATTAATAATTGAACCAATTTGTCAATTCAGTATACAATATACAAGCACTATGAAATGTAGTCTAGCAACTCTGTTTTCTGCTTTTAACCCAGTTGTTGCACTGATGATCGATTTAATAGAACTTGTTACTGGATAAGTATTGTGAGAGGTAGAAAACAGAGGCAGAGCAGTGTCACACTCTGAAAAGAAGTGATACGTAATTTGTTTGCTCTATATAGTTTTGCATGACTTTTTAATCTCCATGTCTGTGCTTTCCTTCTCCTTGTGACAGTTTTACTGCTCCACAGTAAAAGCTTAAAGTATAGTTGTTTTCAAAATGAGACTTAATGAAAATATCAAAACAATATTTTTATTTAAATGAAAAATAAATAGAAAAACAAAATGCTGCTTAGTGGTGTTGGAAACTAACAGAGAATAGCCTGTGATCTCAGAATAGAAATAACCCTGAGCCTCTGCAAGAGAAGTCGACCAAAGCAGAGTAACTTGGCAAAAAAACAGAAGCTGTGATTTTAATAGTAAGTAGTGATATTCTGAGGAATATGGCCCGCCTTCTCATGTCAGTAGCCAGCCTTGTTTGCTCTGCTTCCCAGAGGTGAGGAACTAACAAAATTTATGTTGTCTCTTGATTATGTATTGAATAGCATCTGGTGTTTGAAGAGCAATTGAATAGAAACACAGCAGGGAGAAGCGTGGCAGTATTGAGGCAAGCTGAACTTTTTTCTGCTTGAGGTGGTCTGGAGGCCTTTCCCTGGTCACTGAGCCATCCTGGTTCTTCCTCAGCCTGGCCTGAAATGCCCAAACATAAATTTTGTAACAGTAGTGTCAGGCCAAATTTAGCTCTCAGTTCTGATTTTTGTAATATCAAGTTTTCGTAACTCCTAGAACACATGGAACTAAAATGTTTCCATCTCTCTTTTTTTTTTTTTTTCCTTCAGTCACCAAGGGAAAAAATACTGAAAACAGTTTCCTGTGAGAGATTCAACAAAAGCATTGCAATGCTCTGTTTGTGCAATGAAATCAAAGTGACTAGAAACTGTCTGGTCTGTTTTGTTGTCTGAGATTGAGTGATCTATTATTTCAGTGGAACTAAGAAATCATGGTGGTTTTTGAAAACCCCTCATAGTACATAGCTTTTCCTTAGGTACTGAATTACCTTTAAAGAACTCTGCCTTGGTAAACATCAGGATAATAGCATTTCTCTGCCACACACAGATGCTGTAAGAGTAAATGTATTAGGTTTTGAAATACTCAAATATGGCAATACTGCAGGCAGGTTTAATAGCTTACCTAGGAGTTACATGTAAGTGAAATAGTCTTTTATAAACTGTTATTTTCCAAAATCAGAAAGGTAGGAGTCTTCTTCGTCCAAATCTCTAGCTAGGCAGGGGAAGGAAATCAACTACAAAATAGACAACTATATTTTCCCATTGCCTTGAAGAGCTCTTCAAGCACAGATTGTCTGAAATAGTTGCCGTAATATGTTTTTACTTTTCAGGTCGTAGAGCTTAGGGAATCAGTTTTTTAATATCTACATCATCTCTTTCCTCCTGGGACTGAAGCTGGTTACCATAGCAAAATGGCAAGGAAGCTGATAAGCAAGTAGTACCATTTGGCAAACAGGATACAAATTTATTTTATTAAGACAGAGGACTGTGGAAAAAAAAAAAGATATTAGAAATATTTTTTCTCTTTTTTTGCCTTAATATATTTTAAAATACCTTTGAAGAAAATTATTGTGAACAGATATTGAACAAATGCTATTGCTCACATAACAAGTGTTGCTGCAAATAGTAGGAGCTTCAGTTTTAAATCTCTGCAGATCTTTGATACTTTCAACATTACACTGTAGTTTCTCCCCTTATGTTTCAGGGTGTTGCAAAGATGCCATACTGTGAATTAAATGAGCTTCTGCTTAACAGAATAAATATGGATGTCTGTCCCCTGGTATTTAAAAATTACATTGCAATATAGTTTTTGTTCCTACTTGATGAAGCATGGTCATCTGAGTCTGTCTTGTAAATCAGTCTGCAGGATCCCTTGGGTTTGTGTAAAATGACGTCAATGAGTACTGAAAAGTTAAATTGCTTTGTGTTCCACAAACGTTATCAATAATGTCAAGTCTGACGATGATGTTCGTACTCCCATTTGACAATGTTGGTCTCAATGCACAATATGAATCGCATGCCTTGAACTGTGCAGCTTGGCTATTTAAGGCATCATCGCGACAACAGTATCTTCATGGGTGGGCTCCATGGGGGAGAACTTTTTGTTGGCACTGAGATATACCCAAAAAGAGCTTGTTTTCAAGACTGGGGTGTTCCTCTTTTCTGCTCAGTTAACTCCTGGTATGTTGCCTGCCATCTAAACCACATGTTGTCTCCTGTTCTTGGTGCAAGAGTTGAGTCACCGTTTTGGGGAGTTTGTTTTGGGTTTGTGCTATTAACTGTAAGTGAAATGAAGTCTTAGATTCTTGGGATTAAAAAAGAAAACTGTGTATTTCCTTGAAATCTTCTGTGCTCTCAGTTTTATCAATTTCAGGTGTATGATGCGTGCTTATGCTGTTTTATATGCCCAGACAAATTTTCCACTTACTGCGCAACTGAATAGCTCCAATAGAGAGGATTTGGGAGTCTTGCTGTAATCCGGCCATGCAGAAGATGCTATTTAGTGTTAACCCCTTTGAGCCCGTAGTAACTGTATTCAACTCGTAGAAGTATTCACAGGCTGTGAGTTGCGATCAGTGCAGCTGTGGAGTAGGAATCAGAGTAACTCCTAGGAAAACCCTCTCTCTGCTCTCTTTTTAAGCTGTTTCTTCATTGTAATAAGCACTGACTTTTTTTTATACTATAGGGGGATTCTTCAGCCTTAAAAATTATCATTATCAGAAAAAATTTACCATCAAATACCTATTGGATGCAGCACTGGGTTAGAGTAACTGGGCAGGATCTGGGTGGAAGTTGGCTGGTGTCTGATCAGCTTGGGGGAGAGATGGAGGACCTTGGATCTGGCAGGATCCAGCCAGCCTTAGAAAGAACTGAATGAGAATATAATTGTGAAGGGAATATGTGAGTTTAGGGTCAGGGCTTATTTCATGTTCATGTATATGACCTGCACCTTCAATAGCTCTATCTCTGTCCGAAGTGTGGACCCTTTGGATGGAGGGAGCAATCTGTAGGCAATGAGAATAGTTTCCTCCTTGGAAACCAGTTATCTGCAAATACGTATATCTAGCATTGATGTTAATCACCAGTGGGTATCCATAATCAGCAGGTTATTGTATTGTAGCACAATACGTAAGTGTGGGAACTCAGTGGGGGGATGTAGCCCTAAATGCAGTACTTTGAAGCAGGACCTTGGGAAGTTGGAGTGTTGCCATCTACTGGCAGCCATCCACAGAGAGGAGAAGTCCCTCAGCTAGCTGTAGCTTAAGGTGTTGCTTATTTTGAGCTGAAAGATGAGGGGGTTTTCTGCCTAAATTCTGTTTCAAGGCAGAAGTGTTAATAAAATAATTGTTGGTGTCTTTAGCGGGGGGATGTAGTCAAAGAGTTTGAGTAATGCTGGTGGGGTTTCTCGGAGAGGTTGTTACTCTTGGGGATATGAGTCCACGTTTGACATGGGGACAGCTCCTGTCTCCTGCAGAGTGACCGAGTTGATTTGAGGAGTCCTGAGCACCCCCTGTGGGCTCAGGGCTTGAGGGGTGTCCTGCACCCGTTCTCCCTTCAGAGCCTGGCCCTGCATTTTCAGGGAATGGGCTGGTCTGGAAATTAATTCTTTTATTCTGCAGTAAAAAAAGTAATAAAGGCAAAGGGTATATTTGGAGTCATTAGGGAATAGACCAAAGACCCTTGTTTTTAAGAATCTTGCAGGTCTGACAGTCTCTGCCCCTAGAAGTGTTTCAAATAAGTCTGTCCTCAAAGGGAGATCTGGTACAGCTTATGCAACTCTCAAGAAGTTATACTGTGACTGACCTCTGTCAAGGAAAATGTTTACATGATACCATCAGAAGCGGTTTTGAACATTTTGCATGAACCAAATGCCACCAATGGGCATGGATTTTTTTCTTTCCTTTTTATTAAAAAAAATAGTTGGGAAATAAAAGGTTGCAACACTAGTTTTCAGCAAAAGTTATGTGACTGCTTCTTTACAAAACATAACCCACATGGAAGGAGAAGAGCTTCCTCTGTGGGTTTTACTCTGTGCTTGTCCAGTTTAAATATGCTTCAGACTTAACAACTCTTTTTGTAGTGATGTTCACAGAAATGTAAAAAAAAGTGAGGTTTTTTTATCTAGTAACAAAAAAATCTGAGTTGGAACTAGATTAAACCTTGTGAATGCCTACATTTTCCGTTCAATATTTTAAGCACTATTTCAAAATAATGGTTTAATGTCTCTTTGATCTGTTTTCAAGCCAGATATGTAGGTACACAAACATGGAAATATTCGTGTTCCTCCATCAGATCTGTCTGCATGAGTCTTAGCTGGCAGAGCAATGATGCATTTTTAGAGAAGTTTTTGTCACAGCAGTTCCAAGATACTGGATTACCAAAAGCAAGATTACAGAATTACCAGTGGAATTGTATTTTTTACCAGTGAAGTAATACACAGTGTTAAGAACACGTATTTGAGACCGTATATGGAAGTTTTATATTTTAAAGACTAGAGAGGTAAAATACACTGGAATTAAGAGCCTGAGGTTTAAGCGTGGCTTGGATTAAGGAGTTGTGGAAGGGGCTGGGTTCTGGCTGGTGCTTTGTTACTGATGGCAGGTTTCCAAAGTGTAACGAAGTATTTTTGTCTCTTTTTTTTTTTTTCTTTTGTTGCAGCTGGTCTCCAATGTCCTCATCTTCTCCTGTACAAACATTGTAGGCGTGTGTACCCACTACCCAGCAGAGGTGTCCCAAAGACAGGCTTTCCAGGAGACCAGGGAATGCATACAAGCTAGGCTGCATTCTCAAAGGGAAAACCAGCAGCAGGTAAGAACAATAATGGGAAATAAAAAATAAAATTGCTGAAGCAGAATTAGCGTGCAAACTGTTCTTGTAGGATGTGATTTGCAGGCCTCTTGCTTCTTGACTAATCCAAACAAGAACTGGCTGATAGTAGAGGGCACGATTTTTAAAGGTTTGAAAGAGAGCTCAGGGGAATATTTCTTCCCCAATACCCTGATGGACTTCTCCGCAGACATCAACAAATCCCGTGGTCTATGCTCTGCGGATTAAAATTACACAGCATGCAGAAAGTCTGCATAGGTTTTTGCACCCTTCATTTGAGCTACATGTTGAATGCAGATGCAATACACAAGCTTCAAATTGACCCTCTTTGTAAGGTCAAAGCATGGTGTGTTTGTCAGCAAAGCCGCTGCCAACAGGTAGCTGTAAGGCAGATTTCAGAAGTGAAAGGTAAATTTGGCCCACAGAACATATCCTTGATCGGTCCAAAGGGAGGCATCTTCCTGCCTTTCCCAAAGGTTCCTACCTGCTTGCACACCTCTCTCAACTTTACAGGCCTCAAGTGAATTGTATTTGTTCAAAAAATAAGATTTGTCACCAACTTTGATAGTTTTTTGCTATAAAAAGACCTGTTGCTGCCAGCATACAGCCTAGTCATCAAGGGTACCAAACATATCCGCTCTCATAATTCATTCATGGGTTCTCTTGCAACGAATCTCTTGTGTCCTCAGAATTAGATACAAAAGACCTTTTGGAGTAGCTTGACTGTTCCCTTGCTAACACACGTCTCTGCCCTGCAGTACATCTCGTAGTGGCCTGTCCAGTCCAATATGAAATGAATCATGAAATTGGGTTTCTACTCTTCCCTTGGGAGATATCTCAGAGCTTGGTTGTGGATTTGGGGAAGAGGTCAGGGGAATGAATCAACTGGAGTGTCTTTGCATCTCTGTGGCAACACAGCTTAATTTTCCCTCATGTCTTAGCCCATCTGCATCTATGGATTTGTCTTTTGGCAGTGTTTCATGAGGTACTTCGGGCTGACATACTTGCTGTTTAACCATTACTGTGAAATAACATATACATATGCTTCATTTCAATAGTATATGTAGGAAAACGAGATTCACGCTCAAGGCTCTGTTTTCCTTTGTAACAAATGTAGTCTCAGAAGGATAAAACGAGCAGCCAGTCCTCCTTGCACACCTTGAAATGGAGGAAGGGATTGAGCCAAGAGAATACGCCATTTTACTTATTGCTTACAGCTCTGTCCTCCCTGCTGCGAGACTGCCTTAGCAGCGTGGCTCAAATGCTTGTGCTGTTCTGGATTTAGTAGCTTCTGTGTCAAAAGCCCTGACAAATGCCCTTTTTCTTCTCGCCCTCCCCTGTAAGTACCATACCACACAGAAGAAAGCCGTGACATCAGAAAAACATGGGCCAAAGCCAGTAATTTAGAAGTACCCTCCAGTAGTTCCAGCAGTAACTGTGGGTCCTGGCAGCTGGGGACTCCTAATAAGATTATTTGCTGCTCCAGCCTGCACTGACGTTGATCTCCAGGTTCAGTTCAGATGCATCCCTTTGCATAATACATTGAGATAATTTTGAGGTGATGGCAGACACAAATAAGGGCGGCTCAGCCCACATCTGGGAGAGGAGTCTCCAAACAGGAGTTGAGGGAAAGACAACTGCACAGCCCAACACTGCTGTCGTTGCTTGCCTGTTTCTGGAGATCTGATGGTGTTCCTGTGTGCTGTTCTCTGTTAAAGGCAGGCAGATTACCTCCAGCAAAGGAATGCGTATTTTCCTTTATTAAACTTCTACAAGCACCCAAAATTAGAAAGACAGTAAATAAAAATCCAAATTGTCCAATGCAGAAGAGAGACTTCTTGTGATTTCATTATCTGAGATAACCTAGGGCAGAGCCATAACAGGAATCCCTGTTGCTTGCCCAGAATAAAATACTCTTGGATGAAAATATGGGTGTTCTCCGCAATCTGTAGTGAGCAAATACTTAGGATTTGAGTCAGAGATGGGTTATCAGGACTGCACAGTTTTACTTCTAGCACTGCTTGTCTTTTGTCTCTGAAAAGTCATACTCTCCTCTTTTTCATCTCTGCATCACTTAACTTGTGGTGCAAAAGAAGTGTTATTAAACCAGAGGACAAATGACATAAGACACTAAATATTTGTAGCGCTTTGAGGTCATCTTGGGAGAGTATGGCATAAATAGTTAAAATTCCTACATAGTACAGTCATTGTAGGGATGTGTGTGCCCACTTATACATATATCTATGTGTACGTATGTAAACAAAGTAGATCCGTATTGTACTCTTTCATCTCTGCCTATTCTAGAGACTAGTACTCCTTGGGATGCATTTGTTTAATGTATAATTCAGTGGAACTATACTTGCATCATATTTTGAAGTGAGAATTTTATATGAATTTGCTCTTGCTTTTTTTATCAGGTCAGACTGTTGCCTTGTTACACTTGTAAAACAGCAGTCCCAGTCACCTTGCTTGTGCGTAATAAGTTATTTTATAGTGAGGGCTGCAGTACTTTCTAGTCATTATAGCAAAATGAAAATAGTACTCTAGTGGAGACTCTAATTTCTGTGCTCCGTTTGAAAGAAAACACAGGAATTTTGTTGTTTCAAAGATTTTTTAACATGGCTTGTGCTTTACAGAGGCAGTTGTTACAGCCCCTCCTGTTAGCTTCAGAGGTGATTTTCAGTGATCGTGATATTCCTAACAAACAGAATAAAGATAACACCCAACCCTGTAACATAACTTCCTAATTAGTTGCTACATGAAGGGATGTTGTGCTACATGCATTTGTTTCACTTGATAAGTCTGTCTTATCCCCAGCTGGTGATAGTTTAAAGCAGTGTTAGTTCTTCTCCTGGAGATCACAAGTGTCTTGGAAATATTGGTGATTTGATCTGGCAAGTGCCTATGGTGTCAGGCAGCATAGGGGTAGGGGCTCTCAACCAAAAGTTACCCAGAAATGTATGTGAAAATCTTTTGGAGTACGAGTAAGAGAAACTCGGTCCCCTGAACGTGTCACTGTTTTGCAAGCAAGTAAAAACAAAAATCCCTCCACACTTGTGTACCTACAGCAAATGTTCCAAACCTGTGGATGCCCCTGAACTTCCCATTAAGCTCCTAGTTATTTAGAGGATGTGTAAATTCACACATTATATAGTGGCTTTCACACATTTGAGGATGCCTATTATAATATGCAAATGACAACAACATGTACACCAGTTACTCTGGAAAGCATACAAATGTGTTGTACTTTTCGCTCAAGGAGCATGCTAATAGCTCACAGAAGCCTGAGGACATGTGTATGATTCATGATCTTTTTTAAAAAAAAAAAGGATATGTAACTGTTAGCACCTGCACTATGCTGGTGAAGGTGAGAGTAATTTAAAAAACAAGTATCTTGTCAGGACTGCTGCAGTTTTGAGCAGAGGAGATAGAAATCTCTCCAACACATCTTCTTCTGTGTTATTACTACCTCTTCAGGGACTGGAGGTGAGAATCAATCTCTTTAAGTGGGGGGGGGAGGAAATACTGGGCAGTACTGCAGACTATAAAATGTCTCAGTGCATGCAGAGCACATTTCCAGTGAATTCGTCTTCCTCTGGTTCCCCCAAAGTTCCTCTTTCTCCTTAGAGGAAGAAGTAAATGGGGAACTTCCAGTTAAAACTAGGAATTAGAAACCGGGAATGTGCCTATAACTATAATACGGGTAAGAGGTTTGGTGATGTGAGTAATTAGTACAGGATTGCTGACCCTTCTGAGTCAGGACTGCATTTGAGCCCTGCTGTTCCCTGTGTTGTTGAGAATTAATGAACTGTTAGATAAGGTTAGGGACCTTCGTTCATGCCACATTGTGTCTGCGTTGTCAGGAAGGAAGGCCCTTTTCTTCCCTCTGCTCACTGCAGGCAAAGAAAAATAATAAAGACGAGGCAGCACAAGCGTTTGGGATTCTTCAGCTACTCCAGAGCACTGCGTGCAGGTTGGACCACAGTGGAGCTGACCTCAAAGGAGATGCTTCCCACCTTCTTCAGCCATAGCAAAAACTTCTTTTGAACTGAGTGGGGTGTGAGTGGGAATAAAATAAAGGTATGCGCAGAATTTCTCAGGTGTGATTCCTGAAACACACAAAGGCATCCCTGGGGCGCATACTACCTGCAGGTTTAAATTCTATAGCTTCTGCATGAAATCGCCACCAAATTTAGAATAACAACAAGCACTGGCTTTTGTGTGAGTTTTCAGGAAAATTACCAGAAAGTCATCATTTTGTCATGTATCTAATTTTTGCCTAATATGCGAAGCTATATACAGAACAGCTTACAAAATAATGTTGTGAAAGTCACAGTAAAGCTATTACCAGTAAATAAAAGTGTCAAGTGCGGGTGGAGAGCCGTGAATTGTTGATGACAGAGGTGGTTATTGAAAATACTCTTATATGTGAGCGGGTGAGTTTACAGGTCTTAATGCAATTGGGCACTAATAGCAAGTTTAAGTGTAGAAGTATAATACTGCATAGTATAGTTGGGCTAACTTTTCATGCTAGTTTTATCGAGGCATTCCTATTGACTTTTTAGCTGCTAAGAACAGGTTTGTGCCTGTTGTGGGAATGTGCTTAGATGATTAGATAGCAAAGGAAGGAATTTTAAATGGTGCCCAAGGGTGTTGGGCTATCACTCCTGTGGTGTTATGTGAAGGAGGACTTCATGGTGGTGTGGAGAGGTGAGACAGTATCATTTATCAGAGTCCTTCCAAGAGTCATGTATGGGCACTTTTTGACTTGCATGGCTCCTTCATTTGCAAGAATTGGCAACTGTGAATCACAAGCCCAGTGCAGCTAGGATGAAAAATCATAGTTGTTCTTCTAAAATAATTGAATTCTCCTTGTGACGTTGAGCCAAAATTGCATATGACTTGTTAGGGGATTGGCTGCTGGGTTTATGGAGACCGTTTCGCTTGGTTGTACTCATCTCTCACCAAACTGATGACTCATTTCTCCCCAGTAAGGAGCAAAGTGTGTTTGTTAACTGGGCAGCAGGTGTTTTAATTGGTTCATCTGTCTGACTCCACAGGAGCGTCTCCTGCTCTCTGTACTTCCTCGACATGTTGCCATGGAGATGAAAGCTGATATTAATGCCAAACAGGAAGATATGATGTTTCATAAGATCTACATCCAGAAGCATGACAATGTCAGGTAAGAACAGCAGCTCATCTCCCAGCTGCTGGGTTGGAGAGACCCTTCCAGTGCTTGGCACTTAACACCCAGGGATGAAAATGACAGCAACACATAGTCCAACATAAGTGTAAAGACTCTAAAGTGTCACTAGTTGACTTTTGAAAGTTTGTTTATACAACGGGAGTAGGATTGCCACATTCCTGCAACATCTTTCTTTGAGAAGCAACTTCAACCCATCTCTTTCCTTAGAGTGTTTGGTTTTTTTTCCTGGGGTGAATCTTGGTGATTTTGAGAAGGTGGTATATTTGGGTTTAGTTATTTTTTGACAATTACCAGCATCCTTCTGATAAGCTATGATGGGATGCAGGTTAAAGGTTGGAAACAGTTTCCATGGGGTGAATTGCAGAGCCCAGCTGAGGTTAAGATCACCTGGAGTGGTCTCTGCCAGTTTGGAATTACAAGCAGGGGGTCCATTAGTGACTGGCATCTGCTCAGTCACTCACCGATTTGTTGCTTCTTTGCCTACCTGGATGAGTGGAAGAAATTGATATCCAATTTCTGGCAAGTCATGCCAAATCAAACCCAGGAGTAGTCCAGCCCCATGAGCGAACATCACCAGGTTCCCACTGTCCATGTCCCAGGGGGGAGGTGCTAAAGTAGTATTTTAGTTGCTTGATATCTTTCTGGGCTACAGTTACAAAGTTAAATTTGACTTAATCTTGATGCATTTTACCTCTGCTGTTGTACGTGACCTCTTTGGGAATCACTTACATGTCACTAAGCCAGGTCCTGGAACTGCTCTGTTGATCTGTAAATACTTCTACTGAGCCTCAGGGACTGGGGACAGAGAGTTTCCCTTCTTCCCCTCTCCATCTCCCCTTCCAATGAGAGGTTTTCCTGTAAGCTCCTTGTGTAACCTTCTCTCTTAGGTAGCTTTAAGTATGTTGGTGAATTATATTTTCTGATACTTGGTGCTTAACAAATAAAAGTGGATTTCTTGCATCTCTAATACACTGCGCCCTGCATAATCTCCAACAGATGATATGGTGAAAATCATGTGAAATTCTGGAGCATTTGAAGACATTTCCTTAGCATTGAGGGTAGAAGGGAGAGGTAATGTACAAGCAGAAAATTGGGAGGAGCTTGCTTACTATCTGATACAAAACTCACTGAAATCAGGGCAAGCCTGTGTGCTGACTTGGGTGGACTTCAGTTCGGCCCTTCATGTTTTTGCTTGTGACTCAGTAAACAGATAAAGATCCACCAGCAATAGTGAAGACAAAAACATTATCAGGTATAAAAGACTATAACAGTTCAGTGATGAAAAATAAAGACTACACATATGAAGGTGAGGGGAGGAGGCCGTCCAGAGTGCCCTCAGCAGAGTATGTGCTACAGTAGATTAGATTCTGTGTCTTTACATTCATTTTGTCCTTAATGGCACTGAGCTTGTTCAGGAAGGTGTGTAAATTTCTTGTGACAGATGCCATTTGTGAAATATCTTAATAAAGAAATTACTTTTTTCCAGTACTCAAAGGTCAGCTTGACATTCAAAGTGAATGCAATTTGTTAGATATGACATGAGCCTAGTTAGTACGGTATTACGGTCTTTCACATAAATTTCTGTATGTCATCATTGAAAGTTGTTCAGTGTGGTCAAATCTTAATAAAGGTGATTATCTGTTTAATATGATACTTATTTGAAATTTTAACTATATCATGAAATAAACAAAACTGAAATAATAATAAACTGAATTTACAAATCAACAGTTTTAAAGGGAGAGGGTAAGCTGACGGAATGACTATGATGGGAAAAAATAGCCCAAAGATAATGCCTGGTATGAAGATATGGAGATCTCAAAAAATGAGGCATGACCCAGAGGATAGAAAGAGAAAACAGTTTGCTATGATTTTCAGTTATGGCTGTGAAGTAACATGAAAGGTGAAAAATGTATACATAAATGGGTATATGCACCAATCACTTCCTTGGACTGTCCTGATGGGTAGCTAACAGGAAGCTTGCAAACATTTAATTTTAATTTACTTTTAGTTGAATAATACGAACATTTCCATAAAAGATTTTCTTCTGCGGTCTAAAAGTAATTTTAACTTTGTTCCTCATGGTGATGAATGCCCTTGCAGGTGCTGTCTCCAGTGCAAAGGGAGGCTGAGGTCTCAAAAGATCTTGCAAGGGCAAACAACTAAAATGGTATCTTTGTCAAAGTATGGACTTTGTTGCCTGTGCCTACGAGGTCCTAAATCAAAGCCCACTGAGATCATGGAAAAGGCTGGAAAAAGATAAGAAATATGAATAAAATAGTATACGTACTGAGAGCAATAGAAGGTAACTTAGGAACATCTCCATGTACTTTAGGGAAATGAATAACTAAATATGAATACTGAAAAAAGGAAACATGGTTTGGAACAAATGACTCATTTCACACTAGGAGTTCAGCATGGAGCCTTTGCTCTTGCCTGGGTGCACTGAAACCACCTCTAGTGGGAATGACTGCGGATGATTTTGAAGCATTTACGTGCACGCAGAAACACACTGGTGGTGGGGGGTAGCATCTCAGTGATGTGGATTAATGAACTGGCTTAATAAAAGCAAGCATGCGCTTTACTTTTCATGGGGAAATGCTCAAGGGGAGGCTTTTGAGATGAGAACGCTCCAAGCAATTTTGTTTTGTTTTTGTCACTATTCAAAAATGTCATAAGATCTAAGCTTTTATGAGCTAAAGGTTATTGTGTCAAGGCAATTGAGAAGTATGTGAAGTCGGTGCAAGGGTGCTGTGCCCAGCCATTGAATCTGGCTTCCTGTTGATGATTTATGAGCAGGAGCATTTCCTCCACGGCTCGTAGAAGTGGGAAGATCTGTGTGTCCGCACAGAGGTGTGGGTTTCCCTCCTCCATCAGCTCTGTCAAGTGATTCTCTTTTCCCATTCTCCCAGATGAGTTAAAAAGATAGATTATAAATGAAAGTATAGCAGATGAGAATTTTCATTAGCTATTGATTTAAAAGTTTGATTGCCGTCGTAATGCCTGGAGCCTGAGGTCTTCATTTTCACTAGATTTTCGGGGTGAAGTTGCTCACTTATTTCACAGGCAGTGTGGAAAAAATGAGCCTCACTGGCACTGGAGGTTTCCATCCAGCTGGGTTTGACTTTGGCCCTTTGAACTCAGGAGGAGCAGGAGCACAGCCTCCTGTACTTAGCCTGGTGTGACATTTTGTGTGGGAGAAGTGGTTTACTAAATTCTGTTCCAGACAAGATTAGATATTTTAATTTTCAGGGATGATTGGGTCTGGGCTTTTGGGACCACCTCTAATTTTAATTAAAAAACAAACCCAAACCACTCTACCAGCAGAAAATGTTATTATAAAATCATGTAAAGCTACTGTGTGGTTGGTTGGGTTTTTTCTGTTTTAAAATGAGTTTTTAAATGACCAGTTCTGCTGTGATATGCTTGGGTTTAGATACTAGGTTACATGCTTTGTTTTTCTTTTTAAAAAGGTTACATGCTGCTTTTTTTTTTTTTTTTTTTTTTTAAACAAAAAGTCAATTTAAAAACCTGTGTAGAAAAGACATCTTCCTCAGGTGCTGGTAGTAGGTCTGTAAAACACAAGCACAATCCTTTAAGGGATTGCCTTTAAGGGGCAGTTCTGCCATGATACTGTTTACTGTGTTATACTTCTCTTTGAGGGAGGGCTGTCTCTCTGTTTGGGGAAAGGTGATGGTTTTATGCAAAATACAGTGGTCTTTCTGGCCTGAATGGGTAAAAGCAAGTCTTTTTAGAGCTTTATCAGGACTTCCTGTGAATGAGTTCATAATCTCCTGCTTATTGTTATGGAAAGTAAAGTTCAGAGACTAATTTATCCACAATGAAAATATAATTTCCTGTCATTTTTGGCAGCAAAATTTGTTTCAGGATTATGTTCTTCTGAAGAGTTTAGAGTGATAAAGAAGTTTGGGGTTAATACACTCTTTTTTTGATGCAAATGAAAAGAACCTTTTTAACAAAGAACAAAACCATTTCCCATCCTGATTTATTGAATGAGAATTAACTTTGACAAATCCAGAACCTCAGAGCGTGATTTGACCTTTCCCACATATGCGTGTGTTAAATATAAAGTCTATTGTCAAATGCAATCAGGAAAGGAGTTCCCAAGACTATGCAAGTAATTTTGGGTAAACAAGAAGGTGAATTATGTAACTAAATTTGTTCATGTTATTATGAATGAGATTATGTTTGATAGACAAAGCCTAAAATACTCATAGATAATATTGTTTATCTAACATGCTTCCTAGGCAGAATTTTAAATGTTTTACATTACTATTGCTATTTATAGTATCTCACTGAAGTGATAATGGCTTTAATGCTATCTAGGTTTGGCCAAATATAGTAATCTCTGTGCTATAAAAGGAGGTTTGAAGTCCTCTGTGAAGGGATGAAGGTTGGCTTTGTCATTGAAATTCCTTTGATGAACTGTTTCAAGAAGCTTATTTTAGGGCTGGCATCCAAGCGCAGTGAAAGTGACAGTTTCCTCTCTTCTCCCCTTCACATAATTCTTATGAATCATGTACTCAACAACATTAACCTGATCTCACAGTTTTTTTAAACATCTTGACAACTTGAACTAAACCATTTGCAGAAATGAAATCCATTTGCTTTCACCTTTGTAAACGAAAAACATTTTTAACTAGTTTTCTGATTTAATTGTGTTCTAACACCAAAAATTCTTCCCTTAAAAATGACCAAATAGTTGCACTTTGGCTGAGTGTCAGGATATTCCGACCAGCTGTGTCAACTTAACCTCTTCGCCTTATAGGCATTGTGATGCTTAATTAGTTGCTTATGAAGTGTGTTAAATTTTTAGATTGCAAGGTGCTGTGTAATTGTGTGCTATGACATTTGTGAAAACTTCAAGCAAGCGTCTTTTTCCTTCCTCCTCCCACTGTCTTCGCACACAGGACATCCAGTCTTACTGTTTCTCGGGGTTAAAGGAGTTATCGATATAA